AGACAATAGGAAGGTATTTCAGCTTGGTCGTCATGTTCCGTTCACTCGTTGCGCGTGCTTAGGGGGCGGGGCTAAGCCGGGAGGCGCAGCTCAGCGGACTGTGACACCCCTCCCTGTTTTTCACACCGCTGTAGCCCTGGAGATTAGCGGATGCGCGCGCGAGATGGAACAGTGGAGGCGGGCCATGCTCGGCGCCCGCCGGCACGATTAGGTTGACGGGCATGACGGACAGAATGATCGTCGGCCTTGCATATTTAATATCATGCATTCGCACGTTGGACGTAGCAAAAGTACAGGAGCTACAATTCTGAAGAATGTTGTGATGAGCTCTTTGCCTTTAGGAGAATCCAAGTTTAGCCCGCGGCTGTGTTGTAGCTGAGGTCGTGAGGACGCACTTGCTGTCGCGCAAACTTCAGCTCCGCAAAGCACCGCCAGCCGAGCTGATGTCGAGCATGCGTAACTCACGCAGACGGGCCTTGACGTTCGTGAGATGAATTGAACTCGAGCCTGCACAGTAACCCGAGAGCGACATAAGCTCAGAAAGCTCAAGCCAGCTTGGTGAACGAGTTCTTCGAGGGGAGCGGAGAACGAGAGATGAAACCTTGGGTCACATCTCTATCTCCACAATCTAACACTATAGGTGTAACTAAAACATTCCCATAATCAACAATCAAAGCCCGATTAGCTCAGCTGGTTAGAGCGTCGTACTAATATCTCCTTAACTGGATATATATGGTATGCGAAGGTCAACAGTTCAATCCTGTTATTGGGCAGTGCCGTACCTCCTCCTCTGTGGAGACTTTTTTCTTTTGCATTTTTGATCAGTCAACCATCATTTGTTTTCTTTCTAGCATTGCTACCTTCGAAGCCTACTACCTGTACATAATTACTCTTATTTTTCCTGTTTCTTTTGCGCCGTAATCCATACTGCTATCGTAAGCCAGCGAGCGCGTGGACTGTTACGTTTAAACCTTATTATTCCCGGCACGAGTGCAGTGTTGCCCTAGCCTGTGCTTCGCCTACCGAGACATGCATGACATACGCCTTGAAACCAAGGTGATGAGCATGATCAGCTATTCTATGTGCTGCTCTCCCGACTGTGCTTACTCAGGCAGTGCCGAATCTGGCGTGCCGGCGACTTGAATGTCTATCAGCGGCGCCTTTGTCGGGGTAGCTTCTACCGGCGGGGCACCGATGTTCTGGGCCGGGTGGGGCCCAACAGCTCGTTTCACTCCGTTGCCTGCCGATTTGTCAATGCGACATCCTGGCCAAGACTGGATTGAAGATCCCGCCTCCCGCCTCCCACATCGGAGAATCCAGGTGATATCACGCGGTCCAGATAAGAACCTTCACAATGTTCAAGCTTCACCGCAACATTTGCTGGTATCGCCAGGCCAGCTAGCATCTCTTAGGCAAAGGACTAGCTTTAGCCCACGCGTCTTTGGAGGGCTTGACTCGGGAACTAGGCCTTCAAGGATAAGCATCACGTCAATACACTTGGCATTACGCAATTTTGGTGGGCTTTTGGTATTTTTCGACATCAAAATATCACCGGGCATCGGTAAACACGGCGCAGAGGGTAGACGAACGGGAGGATAGAGTAATGGGCGACCGTTCCCAGCGAGGAGGAGGTCAACGGCGGCCACGCGCGATCCGGATCGAGGATCCAGACCCGCGTCCGGAAAGAAGGCCACTCCTTCTGCAACGGGCGGCTTTCGCTCATGAGGTGGACAACGAGCCGGTCTACAGCTGTGTGCCCAACCCGCATTCGCACCTCCCTGTTTACACGAATATCCACCGGATACGGCGCGATATTATCTCTGTTGTCGAGGACTATCTCAGTCTCGACCAGCTACGAGACCTGCGCATCAATGTCTCTGTCGTCAGGCCACTCGTCGATAAGTTTTATGAGCAGGATGATATCTCTATCGGTACACAACACCTTACAACGAGAAAGGGGGGTTATCGTGCTAACTGCCAATGCTAGTATATTGCCTACTGGTCAATCGGGCACAGTTCTTGCATGAGCAGGCTCACCTGAACAATCGCCAGAATGTGAACTTCACAAGAGCAACCTTATGCGAGATCATCGCGACGCGCATATTACGGCGCTTCAACGAGGACAACGAGGGGCCTGATGGACTGTTGATTCTGGCTCACATCCTCATAGCAGGATTTGAACCCTTCCAGAACGCGCCGGAAGAGATTCGCCGCCAGGTTTATGCTGATGACACAGAGGCACGGCACAGGACCTTGCCCGCTCTTGAGGTGGCTATTATAAGCGAGAGCAAGATGTTTCTTAGCTCGACGTCATGTCAGAAAGTGTAAGTGCTCTCCCCCTTTTTTCCTTTTTTTTTCTTTTTATGCCGGCTGCAGTCCTGACAGCATCCAGCGTCGATGCAATCTATGAGGGTCGGGTCATCTACACGCCTTCGAGCTATTTCGACATCATCCCAGACCGCTATAAGCAGAAGCCAATATCGCTATACGACCCGAGACAAGCGTCGCTGCTCAACCAATATCGGCTCATTGTTCCGCGGACGAGAAACATCCTGGAGATCATGCAGTTCATCACCCTGCTCGGCCTTTACATCCTTTTCATGGCCGAGCGAGATCCCTCCTACTTTAGTTATTACGAGATGTGTTTTACCGTGTACGCCTTTGGATGGGTGTTGGACCAGTTCGCCACGATTCTGGAGCATGGATGGTACGTAGGCTCCTGTTTCTGCTGAATTCGGACGGAACTGACGAGTCCACAGGCATGTCTACACGCAGAACCTCTGGTCCTTCCTCGACGTCACGTTCGCTCTCATCTACTGGATTTATCTCATCATACGCATCTACGGATGGCAGGTCGGGTCGGTTGAGGCTGGACAGCAAGCACTCGATGTTCTGGCTATGGGCGCGCCGGTGCTCATTCCTCGTTTGGCCTTCAACCTGCTTTCGGATAATCTGCTCTTCCTCTCGCTCCGGTCCATGATGGCCGATTTCGCGTTGCTGACCGTGCTGGCTACTTGGTGAGATTATAGACAGAGCACTCTATTGTGGAACGAGGAAACTGATCTTGAGCAGGTGCTTCCTTGGCTTCTTGTTGTCGCTGATCTGGCTTGGGAACGGGGTATTCCCTGCCATGTAAGTCCTCGGTCTGACCTCCCCTGGAAGAAACCGGCATTAACCTCTCTGCGCAGTACCATTAGCAAGTGGATGATCTACATCTGGTTCGGTCTCGACGGATCAGGCATCCAGCACTCGGTTCGTACAAGACTTGTTTCCCATCTGACACATACTAACATTGACAGACCGATTTCCATCAAATTCTCGGCCCTTCGCTGATGGTCACCTTTGCGTTCCTTGGCAACACGCTCTTTCTGACTATCCTGGTGTCGATGCTGTCCAACACATTCAGCACCATTGTCCAAAACGCCACAGCTGAGATACAGTTCCGCCATGCCGTGCTGACGCTAGAAGGAGTCAAGAGCGACGCCATCTTTGCGTACCAGCCACCGTTCAACATTCTTGCTTTGCTTATTCTCGTCCCCCTCAAGTTCTTTGTCTCCCCTCGATGGTTCCACAAGATTCACGTTATGAGCGTGCGCTTGATAAACCTCCCCTTGCTTCTTATCATCGCCTTGGCTGAGCGTCGATCTCTGTGGCTCAATTCTCTCGGAGTCGCGCCGTCGACAGTGACCGCGTCAGCAGCCAAGCCGACAAAGTCTCGCCCCTGGTTCTGGGAGAAGTGGCGCATAACGGCACACAGCGATTTAGGGGCCGTGTTTGACATCCCCCCGCCGGACGAGGTATTGAATGAGATTGCTGCCGATGACGACTTCACCACGCACATGATCCGCCGTCAGTTCACGCGGCATCACACGCTGCCGGATGGGGCACAACAACCGCATCAGAATCAGCAGCAGCAGCAGCAGCAGCCTCAGAGCAATATGCCCAAGGGCCCCCAGCTGAAACAGCCCAGTCGACGCGATAGTATCGCGCCGTTCCCGGGCTTACGCGCCGAATTACATGGTCTGCTGAGCGAGAATGACGAGATCAGCAGTATCTCGACCAGACTGGAGGCACTGGAGGAGAGCGTGTCGCGAATTGAGTCTTTGGTCGTTAAAATGACGGGTGATGTGGAGGAGGCTGCCGAGGAGACGGTTGAGGAGGCGGCGGGACGGACGGGGACGCTTAGGGATCTGGATCATACGGGTGACGATACGGCTGACGAGTAGGACTCCGTGCTAGTATCGGATGAGTTGAGTGGAATGGAGGAGACTGACTATTGGTGATTCATAGCGACAGGTGTTTTGGAGTGCCAGTGCCAGTGTAGTTGTTTGGTCGGGCAACCGGCCTGTACATCACATAAAAATACATACATACATAGAACTAGGTAATGAACATACAAAGATAGGGCAACTCGTTTAAGAGGTTAAGTCGCTTCTGCCGTTAACATACACGCCGTCGGTTCTGATCGGCAAAATCCTCGCCCAACGCGGGGTGACTTTCTTCAAGCTGGTGTACTGATACAGTCCATGGTTTGTTTCTCTGTATCGCAGTTAAATAAGGTAGCTATGACTCGCTTTCTCTTCTCTTCTCGGCACTTGTAATTATCCACGAACAAAGCGCAACAATAATTGACACACACATTGCAGAACGAGCAGAGAGTCTATTCGAGAGTACCGATGTAGAGCTGGACAAGTTCTCGGTCGGGTCAACGGTAAGCAAGTACGTCCGTACTGCTTAGAACGTTAGGCAACATGCTAACACTAATAGCATTTATCTGGCCAGCTAGAGTAAGGTAAGGTAGGTAGCGTCACACTGTGGCCGAACTTGGCAATACGGCAGGCAATACGGTAGGTAATAAACGACGACGAAACAAACCAAGATATGAGATGATAACATGAAAAAAAAACGAGTTTTCACTTTGTAAAAAAGTAAAAAGTGCAATAGAGCACACAAAAACATGGGTCATCGTCCCCATCTCTGGCACGATGAACAAGACAACGTGCCCAATAACAGGATTGAACTGTTGACCTTCGCATTTACCACATATTTCCAAGATCGGAGATATTAGTACGACGCTCTAACCAGCTGAGCTAATCGGGCTTTTCGACTGATGAACTACCTACCTGCCTAAGTCATTCAAGGTGGAGCTTTCCTTCGCAAGTTCTCAACGACAAAAACAGAGAAACCAAACACCAACAAACAAACGATCGGGAAAACCATAGAACATGATAACATGATTACCTACTCTTGAAGGCTGTAGTGCGCAAATACTGCAGAGGCAGTAAGATCATGAATACCAAATTACTATCGGGTCATGCACCCCCTGTGGGTACTTATGTTGGGTCATGTCATCTCATTCTAAGCTATAAACACCAAACTCACAAACTCTAAGCAAGCAGCAAAAGACGCTAGTTTCTTAACTGCCCTGAACCTTGAAGGTTCTTCCGCTCGCCGTCTTGCGCTCCTTCTCTTCATTCTCTGGCCGGGCTCTTCGGAGGACTGATACGTGGTCAGTTATATTATCAGCCGCAGATAGTAAAGAGAGGGTGCTTACCCTGGAGGAAGTCTGCCGTTCTCCGTCGCATACGGGAGTGGATGTACGCCTTGGAGGCCTTGATGTGGTAGTGGAAGTAGTCCCGGAAGGTTTGTATGTGCGAGATGACGTCGGGCATCCGCTGCGGTGTGAGATGTCGAGGGAACAGGACTATTTACTGTCAGTTACACAACGATTCGGTCGGTGCAATACACCCAGTGGACATACCAAAGGTAACATATCCAACCTCTCCCGTGCCCGTGTTCTGCACCCCCGGAACACCCTGAAGCTCTAGCGGGGGGTCGTTGCGGAAGAGAACCTGGGGCGCATTCTGGATAGCTCGTCGCCGGGCGTCAACAAACTCCTGGATGAAGACCTTGCCGAATACCCGGTCCGTCTCTTCCCTGAAGATCGTGCTAAAGATGACTGTCACGCGGTCGTGGCTGGCCTTGACGTAGATGGCCTCCTCCTCGCGGTAGTGGATGGCCTTCACCTCGCCTCCCTCGCGCACGCCCTGCGGCGCCTCTTCGGATGTGAACTTTGACGCTTCCTCTTTAAGTTTGTAGTGCTCCTGGTATGCCTGCTCGAACGGGGCGGCCATGGCGTTGCGCTTCAGGAGGGAGATCTTCTTGACTAGCTCGTCTCGCTCTTCTGTTGGGCTCGGTGTGTCAGTCTGTCTGGCGCGTGGTCGCTGCGTGCGTAGATATGTAGGAATGCGCCAACCTTTCTCAGCCGGGAGATTCTCCAGATCAACCATGACCGAAAAGTCGTAGCCTGCTTCGGGAGGCACCACGTAGGACCCGTACTCGCGGTTGAGCACCTCCTCGGCGCCATACCGCACGAGATCCTTGTAGCATCGGATCTGGATCGACACCAGAATCTTGGTCTTGGTTTCGGGGGTCGAGATGTGGAAGATGACGCCGTCAAAGTCGGATACCTTCTGGTCAATTGACACAGGAGGAGCTCTAGTTGCAGCATTATCATCAGCCGGTGAGTCCCCTGAATGCGCAACATGCTCTGGCGCCGCGGTGACCTACCCGGAGAAGCGCTCCGTGAGCACTGATTGTATCAGCACATTCTGGTAATCTAGCAATAACATCTTGATTCTGGCGAGTCTCCCTCGCTCTCCTGACCCAAACCGTTGTACTTTGGTGTTTAAGAAGTCGAGGTGGGGCTGGGCGCGAGCGGCTTGTGGGAAGGCTGACGTTGCTGCGGGCTGCGGCACAGAGGGCAGGAGCTCTCCGCTCTCGTCGCTGGGAAGTGGGAACTGCCCCTGTCAACTGCCCCGCAGTCTTGTGGTAGCCACAGGTTGTGGCTAAGACCATTCCTTATCTTATCACAGTCGAAAAAAAAGTTCCCGGGTGCGCATCCCACCGTCGATTTACTGGACGCATTTACAGGCGGATTGGAACAGCCCTTGGACTTTCGACTGTCTCTTAGGTTGCCAAGATGGTCAAATCCTACTTGTGAGTTTGGATGTCTCATGTGCTGCGCGCAAATGTATCCTAACGCTTTTCCAGAAAATTCGAGCCCTCCAAGTCGTTTGGCATTGTCGCATCGAGCACCTCGAATCTCGTCTGGTCGTCAAGCGGAAGAAGCGGCGCGGGCAGCGCAGGCCAGGCCACTGTCGCCGCCAACGAAGAAGTTCTCACATGGGACATCAAGAAGGGCGAGCTTCTCAGTCGCTGGCGAGATGAGAACTGCCGGGCGCAGGTGACTGCGATCGCGCAGAGCAAGACGGATCCAGATGTGTTCGCTGTCGGCTACGACGACGGCAGCATTCGATTGTGGGACCGCAAGATCGCCACGACGATAGTGAACTTCAATGGACATAAGTCGGCGATTACGATCCTTGCTTTCGACAAGACGGGCGTACGACTAGCCAGCGGCTCTAAGGACACGGATGTGATCGTGTGGGATCTGGTCGCCGAAGTGGGCCAGTACAAGCTCAGGGGACACAAGGATCAGGTCACTGGGCTGCGCTTTGTTGAGCCGGATGCACAAGTCCAGGGTGACGACGAGGAGCAGGCAATGGTTGTGGACGCCGAGTCGGCTGAAGGCTTTCTCCTGACGACCGGGAAAGACGCACTACTCAAACTCTGGGATTTGTCGTCACGGCATTGCATCGAAACACATGTTGCGCAGACCAATGGGGAGTGTTGGGCGTTGGGCGTCTCACCCGATCTGAGCGGATGCGTGACGGCCGGAAACGACGGCGAGTTGAAAGTGTGGGGGTTGGATGTCGCATCGCTCTCCGCGTCGGCAAATCAAGTCGACCTCTCGCAAACAGTACGCTTCTTACATGACCGAGGAACGCTCTTCCGTTCGAGTAAAGAGAGGGTGGTCGAGGTTTTGTTTCATCCTCGGCGGGACTATTTTGCCGTTCACGGGGTCGAGAAGTCGGTTGAGATATGGAGGATAAGGTCAGAGGCAGAAATCAAAAAGAGCCTGGCAAGGAAACGCAGACGGAGGCGAGAAAAGCTGGCTGCTGGTAAGGGAAAGGGAGCTAAGACGGACGGCGACGAGGACATGGCCGATGTCGAAGAAAAAGCTGAAGACGTTTCCAAAGCCGAGGTTGCGGACGCTTTCGCACAGCACGTCATCGTCAGAACAACTGGCAAGGTTCGGTCAGTGGACTGGGCCACGAATTCAGGCACCAAGGATCTCCAACTGGTGGTCGGGAGCACGAACAACCTTCTCGAGATGTACACCATTGTCGGCAAGGACAAGTTACAGTCGAAAACCGAGGTGCCTGACTACAACAGAGCGCTAGCTGTCGAGCTTGCCGGCCACCGAACCGATGTCCGTTCTTTGGCTATTAGCTCCGACGACAAGATGCTGGCGTCTGCGGCCAACGGATCCCTCAAGATTTGGAACATCAAAACCCAGACCTGCATCCGGACGTTTGAGTGTGGATACGCACTGTGCTGTGCATTCCTGCCGGGAGACAAGGTTGTCATTGTCGGAACGAAGGACGGAGAACTGCAGCTCTATGACGTTGCTTCTGCTGCATTATTAGAGAGCGTCAACGGGCACGAGGGTCACTCGATATGGTCTTTGCAGGTTCATCCGGACGGCAAATCCGTCGTTTCTGGTGGTGCCGACAAGACTGCCAAGTTCTGGGACTTCAAGATCGTTCAGGAGCAGGTTCTGGGCACGACGAGGACAACACCGAAACTCAAACTCGTGCAGTCAAGGATCCTCAAAGTGTCAGACGACATTCTGAGCTTGCGGTTCTCGCCTGACGCCAAGCTCCTGGCCGTTGCTCTCCTTGACAGCACCGTCAAGGTCTTCTTCGTTGACTCCCTGAAACTCTACCTCAACCTTTACGGACATAAGCTGCCCGTGCTCAGCATGGACATCTCATACGACAGCAAGCTTATCGTGACAAGTTCGGCAGACAAGAACATCAGGATATGGGGTCTTGACTTTGGCGACTGCCACAAGGCGTTGTTTGGACATCAAGACAGTATCCTACAGGTTGCCTTCATCCCTCACAACTCGGAAGGGAACGGCCACCACTTCTTCAGCAGCAGCAAAGACCGCACGATCAAGTACTGGGACGCAGACAAGTTCGAGCAGATCCAGAGGATAGACGGCCACCACGGCGAGATCTGGGCGATCGCCGTGGCTCACAGCGGGCAGTTCCTCGTCAGTGCGAGCCACGACAAGAGCATGCGGGTGTGGGAGGAGACGGACGAGCAGATCTTCCTGGAAGAAGAGCGTGAGAAGGAGATCGAGGAGCTCTACGAGAGCACGCTGACAACGTCCCTCGAACAAGACCCCGACGCCGAGGACGCAGACAGGGAAGTTGCTGCCGCCAGCAAGCAGACCACCGAGACGCTGATGGCGGGAGAGCGGATAGCAGAGGCTCTCGAGCTAGGGATGGCCGACCTCAACGTCGTGCGGGAGTGGGAGGAGGCAAAGCTGGCGAATCCCAACATCGCGCCGCCCCAACGAAATCCCATCTTTATCGCGCTGGGCAACATCAGCGCAGAGGTGCACGTCATGAGCGTGCTGCAGCGCATCAAGGCGTCCGCCCTACACGATGCCTTGCTCGTGCTGCCGTTCGCGTCGGTTCCGATGCTCTTCACCTTCCTCAACATCTTCGCCATGCGGTCCATGAACATGCCGCTCACCTGCCGCATTCTCTTCTTCATGCTCAAGACGCACCACAAGCAGATCGTGTCCAGTAGGACCATGCGTGCCATGCTAGACGGCATCCGGGCGAACCTACGGCAGGCGCTCAAGAGGCAGAAGGACGAGATGGGGTACAACATCGCCGCGCTGAAGATTGTCGGCATGCAGATACAGGATCAGACGGTCAAGGGCTATGTGGATGAGAAGTGGGACGAGCAGCAGGAGGATGAGAGTCGCGCTGTCCGTAAGCGGGCATTTGTACATGTTTCTTAGACTTTGATGCAATGATTAGATAAAATGTATTGTACATATTTTATTTTGGGAAGTTAGGATACCAAATTCATGCGGTGGTGGCTTTTCATTTCTCCGTCGTTTCTGTCGGTAGCCCAGATTTGTAACATCCTTGACCTCGCTGCGAATCTCTACA